ATTGCTATAGTTAAAAATATGTAATGATGATTTTTTTTTTTTTTTAATTGAAAATGAATAATACTGTAATTTCATTTTTCAAATTATGAATGGACATTACCGTAATAAAAAGTGTCAACAATAATAATAATAATAATAATAATAATAATAATAATAATAATAATAATAATAATAATAATAAAAACTGGAGAAATAAATTTAATTACAGTGCATCAGATGCGTCAGATATGCGTTGTCAACTGTCTCTGGTAAATAATTGATTAATAAATCTACGATTAAAATTTCACATTCACGCACCATCGACAAAATTATTCTTTTGCGGAATATCGGCGTTTGAAAAACCTTGACCGAACGAAAATTTGGCCGCGAGGGTGCGATCGATCATGATCTGTACGACAGGTCGATCGATTGTTCGGTAGGCGCCTCTCGGAGGTGAGCGGATACGGCGACTGCGGACACGCTCTCTCTCTCTCTCTCTCTCTCTTTCTCTCTTTCTCCCTTTCTCTTCCTCTCCTCACCCTCACCTCACTCGACAAAAAGGCCAGCTGCCGCAAACGCTAATTTCGGCACGCGCGCCGCGAGGCTTTTTAGGCGCCGTGATACAACGGAAAGCGCGCAACGCAGCGCAGCGCAGCGCAACGCCACGCGCACGTCCGAGAGCTGCAGCGCGCGTCCTGAATACCGCGCACCTTGCATCGGCCCGTTAATTACGCGTTGGCAGCGTAATCGCTTTTTGCGCGAGCGCGAGCGCGTAATGCAACTTTCGACGTGCACAGGAGAATTGTATAACGCGGATCTCTCGTACACACGGATCCACGCAGCGAGTATTCTTGGATATCGGACGTCAATATCCGACATTTTGGGAGGAAACAGAAATAGTTTGCGGGGAATTTTACGCGAAAATTATTGTAGTAATAATAGCGTAATATTTCTCGCTTTATTTTTTCAATTTTTTGTACAGTTTTCGAATTATTACGTAATATTACGATTTCTTTTTACTCACTTTTCGAATATGTAATTCTATATATGTATATGTATATAGGGTTATAGTCACGTGGGAAAATATTTAAAACAGTGAATTCTGCCGATCAAACTGAATCGAAAAGTCCCTTATTATTTTTTTATTCGAGCTACACTATTGACGAATTAAAAATGTTAAAGAGAAGAAATATATGTATAATGTACAATACATATAAAATTATGTAAAAATCATTAAAAAGAAACGACATTTCACATATGACTTCAAATTTTGTATTCTGATGAAAATTTAACCACAGATTCCAGGATCACAAATGCAATATATTTTTTTCTTCGTATTTTTAACTTGTCATATCGCGATAGCTTGAATAAAAAAATGCAAAGGATTTTTCGATTTGATTTTTAATTTGCAGAATTCATTATTCAAATACTTATTCATGACTAGCACATTCTATGTGTGATGTATATATTTACAAATAATTCTAAATTTAATTCGAAAGAATGATAGAATGATATTAAAAGCTTCGAGGAGCAGCATATTATCCACTTGTAGCTGCAGCGAAGCGTTTCGATAAAAATTGTAACAACAAACATAAACGACGAGGCAAAGTCGTTGTTGGAGAGATTCTCTTCCGGAGTATTAATCACGAGAAATGGAAGACGCCTTTAAAAAGACGTTGCCACAGCCGTTATCGCCCTAATCGAGAAACATACAACCGCAAAGAAATATGCGTATGTACATACGCGCGAGGCGCCCGTGCATCCTTAAGCAGCGAGTATTAAAGGAGGAGCGAGATGATAAAACCCCGTGGCCTACAGCCGGCAATAAATGTTTCGTAGCTCGTAAAAATGTTATTGCCTTCTGTGCGGCGCGATACCAGAAGACGGCGCGCGAAAGCAAAGGGGGACGTTGAGGTGATAGAGACACTCGAGTCAGAGCCTGGCCAATTCGCTGTATACAGTCAAGTATCGACAGACTGCGTACAAGCCGTGAAATGGTGATGTAACAAGTCATTATCAAGAATAGAAACCATTCTTTACGTCAGTTTTACATACGGTTATTTTATAACATGCAAAATTTAAAATTCTATGCTCCTTTTAACTCACCTTATTCTTAAATTACTTATTGAAGCTTGAGTAATCTATGTCGTAGCTTTTGAATATATACTTTTCATTTGACTCTTTAGATTTTAATTAAAATATGCAGGCTGAGAAAGTCACACCTGAGATTATATTTACATTTATTATGTGCGCACACACAACAACGTTGTACTCTGAATAAATGGAAAATAGAACTTGTGTGCAAATGGGTTTATTTTGTGTCTAGGAATCGCCCGTCTTTCGATTGCGTTATCCCGATTCCGGTATAAAACTGTAATGCATACAATGCAACGCGTTGATCCGACTTGGCGGTAGATAAGTTGTACTCGGGCTTGCGTTAAAGAAGGCATGGAATATCATGGGGGAAAGAGGTGAAACGAACGAACGACACACCTCCTTTGCATGTAACTCGAGAAATAGCATTCGTCATTGCGAGACCGGTCTATTATCACGCTTGCAAGACAGATAGAATGACAATGCCAGACGGAAGTGAAAGATCCAGGAAGTGTTACGCGTGATATTATAACGTTAGAGCGCTATATAGACCGCGATATTCATTCTCGGTTAAATTTTTACATCGAAATAATTGATTCTAAGACAGGAATAATTGATCTAAACATAAGGAATAATTAAATTAATATTTACGATAAAGCTTTCAGCGCGATTTATGAATAGATCAAAGATGACAAGAGAAATATGTACGGTCTAATTAAAATTAAAAGGCATGCGTGTGCTAATAAAAAAAAATTGGAGAGATTAAGGATGTTTTGTACAATTTCAGCAAAAAGTAGCTGAAAATCAATATTGATGAATATCCATTTTTGGTGTATTTTGAATATGAGAAATTGTGTGTCATATTACAATTTGATCTTAGCTGCAGAGATGTATTTTTTAATATTTATTGCGTTTTTACTGAAATATTCCGAATTTTGTTAATCTAAATGATTAAGGCTACTTTTGGCAGAGAATTTTGCCTTGTGACGGATACATGGCTAACTTCATTAAATTATATTTAATATCTTTTTAACCAGTTAGTACTTGTATAATATTATTTGATCAAATATTTCCTCTGTATCTAAACTTTTGCAAATTTTAAACAAATTCTGAATATTATTTCCATGTGTTTTTGTCATTTGAATCGACGTGGTTATACGTTTCCCATAAGAACACATGTTAATTCGGTGCAAATTAAAATCCTTATAACTTGTGAATCGATTTAAAAATTGTACTGAAGATTCTAAACATATGTAAGGACATTCTGTACAATTTTCATTAAATTCTCAATATTTTGAAAATAGATACAAAACATCCTTAAATGATGAGAATTCGAAATGAAGGATCTAAATATGTTAGCGAATCTACGTTATTATCTCGAAAGAATTGAAAGTTGCCTGCAAGAAGACAGCGCGCGTTTCTTATTCCGATATAATAACGCTCCCTCTTTTTTTACGTCGCTAATATTGCCGTATAATCTGTCGCCGTTTCGGAATAAATAACCCGCGGGGCGGCTAATAAAATTCGACGCCTGCGAAATTTTGTCGGTCGCGTCGCCCTCGCGCGTCGCCCTCTTACGCGACAGAAGATTCCCGGCGGATGCGTTTCTCTCACGATGGCACGGGATACTGTCTATATAAAGACACATAGCCCGAGTAGGGCAGAAGGCGGCACAGCGTGCACCGCGTCGCTTCATTTGTCTTTATATTAACGTCGCTGTGTAACGCCATAATAGCGTTATGACGACACACAACAGTGTGCCTACATCGCCGCGAAACAACTTTTTCACCCTCTGCATTTCCCCGCATTGGCCCTTTTTCTCGCCTCCTTATAAACGCACCGTCGTTTTACGAGGGACTCTCTGACAGCCGGAACTGCCTCTGATTCCAAATTATTACTCGCAACGTCTACGGAGATGACGTTTTTCGGCAAATTAAGTTTTCCTTATGAAAGGTGCGCGATGATTGTTAAGAAAAGAGAAATTTAAGAGAAATGTATATTTATTTATATTAAGGGAATATATGATATATTATCTAAAATTAAAACTTCTCAAGAATTCTTAATCGAAAATGCATCGGTGAAATTTAAAGACGAAGAAAATAATGACTGTTAATCTTCATGTCATTCTTGAAAGTAGCAATAATAGTGAAATGTTATTTAACAAATCCTGAGAATCATAAAAATAAACTTAATTATCAATATAATATTGAAAGAATAAATAAAATCGTAGGATATGATAATGATAAGAGCGACTTGGAAGAATAGAATAAAATCTCGAATGGTCCCCCTAACGCATGTTAGCGCGATAATTGTGGCGAGAAGTTTCCTAGTGCAAATTCGTGTTGCTCGCGGGCAAACTTTCAAATCCGTAATAGACACAAGAGAGGTGGAACACCGGCTTCTTCTCTTCTCGAGGAGATACGTCGATATATCGATCTAGGTGTACGTATTATCTACAGGTAACTTGGAGCAACGCGGAAAATAAAGTTTTCTGCCGCATGCTCGTATATATAAAATAATACCGATACGTGAGGTCGGTTCCTCTCGTCCCGGAGGCGGTATTGGATGGCGGCTCCCAGGGGGTTAATTTTGTGCCGAAGGGTGGAAAATATTCACGGTTCCTTAAAATCCGACGAGCCTGTCTCTTACGACCTTCCTCTGGGGTGGCGTTACGCCAAACGGTCACTCAAAATACCCCAAAAGGCCCCTCGTACCGTCCATTCTCTGCTCGCCCATGGCGATCGTTTCTTAATCCGCGCTAAACTATTCCAGGATTACATGGGAATAGTTTAGTGAGATACGAAAAATAGACGAAAGTTCCCTTGCTAAATAGAAGGTAACAATTCCGCCTAAATATCACATAATACCTTCCCTGTCACTCGATAGTTTCATTCATCTTTTATTAACGCACTGTCTTTGCTTTGCAGTCCATCCGTTGCACGGTGAACGGCTGCTCCTGCGAGTCCTTCACACCGGGTAAACGTCACCTGCGTTACTGCGAGAACTGTCATCACGGCTGGGTGCCTCACGGTAAGTCCAATCGCCTCTCATTCGAACGAAATTAATCATGGCGCGTATCGCGTTATTGGTAACCAGTATTTCCGATAAATAAAGGAGAGACAAAAAAAACGAGAGAAAAGATTTTCCCGGGGATATTCCGACGCTTGGTGTCGCGTGCGCGCGCGGTTAAACGCAAATTTTCCAACTGTCAGCATACTTCATCCGACGGGCCCTCAGGGACGAAATTCAATTTTCCAACGATGACCACCGCCCATCCCTCGTTGGGCATCGCGCGCCACCCCTTTGTAGAAGACCGTAGCGCGCGCGCGGGTTATCGAATACGACAATATATAAGACGCCGAAATACTTTATGCCCTCGTAAGTTTCCGAATGTACGGAGGAGAATCGAGAGAAAAAGAGGGGGAGGGACGATCTCCGTTTCTCGCAAAGTTCCACGACACCCGGCGAATACACATTCCCGTACGTATGCGCGCACATACATACACACGCGCATACGTCAAACCGCGCTTAAAATTCCGCCTGCTTGACCCGCGATAGATTGGACGCGGCGCGGCATGGAATACATATCAATTTCGGGCTTCCTTCCGCCCGGTCCCGCGGGAACGCGGTTGCATTCTCTCTCTTTTTCTCTCTCCTCCCTTCTCTCGCACCCTCTGCCCATTGTATTACGCTGGAGCGAGAGGTGTCGCGATCTTTCGTGTATCGTTGCTAAAAAGACGCGTGACAATGACAGTTATTCTCGCAGATTTCCGCTCGTCGAAGGGATTGAATTAGAATTATTAACATAATACTGTTATTAGTGTATTAGACTAGAAGCAAAGTGCATAATTATGGAGATATTTGAGTATTCATCGCGGTTGTTTGCAAAATGGAGCTTATGTTTGGAATATTTTTACGAATTAAATGCGCAATTCTTAATCAGCATATTTAAAAGCTCTATTATTTCTATCTCGGAAATAAAAGTATCGGAGAAACATGAAGATTATGTTTCTATTGCTATTTATATTTGTTTCGGACATATTAAGAAAACTATTGATATTTTAAAGTACTCATAGAAATTTTTGTAAACTTATTGCAGTATCTTTTAACGAATGTCGAGCGCAATTGAAAATAATCATTAATACGCATAATGCATGACACTCCATCATTAAGAAAAATCAGCTGATTAACTTATCAGTATCTTATATTTTCACTTCGTGTATCATAAATCAATATACATTCTTATATGTTAAAATTACAAAAGACTAATAATAAGATATTGAAAGATGATTATCGTAATAATTGTAAAACATTTTTAAAAACACGAATATAATTGTTTTTCTTTCGATATAATATCAACAACTTAAATTAAAAATAAACAATTAAAACACAGTCCTCGTTACTCTTTATTTTGAACCGGTTTCGCGGAGAGAAAACGGTACAAAAAAGATTCGTCATTATCGATCCGTAAGTAATTAGGATAACTTATATTTATGCATTATATAAGCGGTAAAAGATTAATCACGTGCAATAACAGAATTATTGTTAAAATCAATGAACATTATGTTTTAAATAATCCACGCAGAAACTAATATCAAATAAAACTAATATTTTTTTAAATACAGTTTTCATCAAAAATCTTCAGTTTGAAAAATGGAGTGTTTATAAATATTTTACATTATTTATTTTAGGGCATTTCATTCAACTTAATTACACTTATCTTAGCAGTACACTTTTTATTTACGTGACCGGATTTAACTTACGTATTTGATTTCGCTTAAGTACCTAACACATGTCAAACTAGGTAGAGCATTGTTAGTAATGCCACCGTAGATGCTTTGTACGAGGCATCGTTGAACGCGCGCCGTGAAACGAAATCACGAGTAGTGCGCTGACAAAGGCCTTTTTAAATTGTAATGAGCTGCCAAAGAGTGAATTATGTGCCGTCCAAGTGCCATCGAGTCCTCGGCGAACCCCATCCTATAAAACTCCGCCATACACGCGTACATATCCCGACATCCCTGTGGCCGCTCTCGGCCACCCCATGTCATGAATATATTTACATTGATCGGCCGTCTCGGCATTTTTCATTTGGCTCGTCGTTGTGTCGGATGGAACCGAAGTGTGTCTATCCCTTCGATACTTTATTTATATCGACAGGACGTGTCTGTCTTTTTGAGGGCCGCGCGCTCGCGCACGTCTCTCCATGCAGTTTTCATCAGAAACTCGCGTATGAGCGATGAACCCGAGCCCGACGCTAATGATCCTTTCGTCCTTGCCCGGAAATCCCCGGAGTTCGACAAGATAGCTTCCTGGACCGCCAGTATTCGCCAGATATGTATCATATATACGTAAACCTCTCGGAATCAAAGTTCGTCACGCTCAAGAGATGTAAGGACCGTTCAAATGAAATATTTATATATATAAAAAGTGCTATGAATCTTCGCTTAGAATATACACTCAATAAATTTGAATAATCGCGTCTCTCTTTATTGGTAAGAGAAATATATTATTTAACATCTAAAAAGATTGTTTGGCACACAAATTATTTTTATCGTGAAAAATCTATTTTTTTTTCAACTTAACTCCGATGAAATCATCGGAAACGATCGAAGAGTAACCTTGCGAGACCATTACACGCGGATTAATCTAAGCCGCGCGTTTTACATTGCGATATATATCCACGACGATGCGAGAACGGATGGCTGGTTTCTTCGTAAAAATTACGGAAAGTAGATGCGTGGATAATGAAGGGTTAAAACGGGCGAGGTACAGTTACGCGATTAAAGCATCGATGTTGAATACGTATATAGAGACCTTCTTTCCGCTGCAGCGTAACCTCGACGATAAGAGGATACGCGCGTACTCTAAATCCCATACGCGCCCTTCCTGATAATATACGGGAGAGCAATTTATAGCGTCTCGGTGAGGCAGAATTTTTTTAAGTCCGCCTCTAATACTTTACGTGCCTGCGCGAACCGATCATCTACGCTCGCCATTCCGATCATCCACAATTTAGCCCAATTAGACATATTTCACTGCACTTCATCGTATGTCTTTTTAGTTTGCACGTAGCGGATATCTATGGTGAAATCGGAATCATAAAGCCGTCGATTGCAGTCGGTAGTTATGATAATAAATTGTAATATATTATTATAGGGTTAAACGGGGTGTAATACGCCACATATTTGTTTAAATTAATATAAAATACACTTATAAACAGATTGTACTGGTAATTGAAAAGTTTACTAATATTAATATTTTTTTATTTAATTGAAGTATTCTAAGATAAGATAAACTTTTTGAAAACACTGAAAAAGGGGGTTTTCTCTCGATCTTCGATGAAAAACGTCTTCGATAACTATAATCAACAAAAATAATTTGTTTTGTTTTAAATTATAAAATATTTATAAGAATAATCGTCGGAAAATTAAACTCGATCGTATGTATGATTATCAATTGCTCGCGATTTATTTAATCTTGCTTGTCATGTGTTCCTGCAAGATTTGTTCGCGTCTTATATCGTAGGAGAATTTTATGGGTCCAGCCGAAAGCTGATGGATAAAATTATCGCTATACAAAATTTCACTGCCGAAAGGAGGAAGTCCTCGAGAAGATCGGCAAGGTCTCTCGACAACGAGAGGAGGAACTATGCAGTTAAGAACGGTGACAGGGTTGAAACGCAACATCTGCGCCTCCATCTGCACCTCTCACGATCGGCAGCTGGCGGAAGGTGAAGGAAAGGGCCCCGTAGGGCCCTCAGAGGAAGACGTCGAACTTTGGCCCGCAAAAGGGATATACGCGCGTCTCGGCGCGTGCACGATAAATCATTAAAAAGGCGTAGCCCGGAGTGACGCGCGCCGCCGTTAATAAACGCGCCACCAAACACTCTCTTTCTTTCTCTCTCTCTCTCTCTCTCTTTCTCTCCCTATCTGTGAATTACGGCGACCATGAACGAGCGGGGGTTATACTCGCCCCCCGTCGCAGTCTTTGTTTCGCATCAGCCTGCGACCGAGCTCTGTACTCGGGCGACGGGGGATGATTTACTCCCCGTTCCGTGAAACACGCACTTGCAATTATTTATCCGAATGCTTATTATAATGATTCAGATTCTGTTTATAACGTGTAACAAGACTGAATGAATCTTTTAATGATGTGTATCTTTATCACGAAAAGTAGATTTTAAAAATTGCCCGAGCAAAAAGGCAGTTTGATTTTAAAATGTGGACAATGTCATTATTATGATTAGCTGAAAATAGCGATTTTTATATTTAATATATAACTAATAAATTTGGTTACAAAATTTTTTTCCGTATAATATAATATTCTATATCGCAATTATAATTTTAAATTTTAATTATTATTTAATAATATAATATTAATATAATATTATCATTTTAAAACGAAAACAGTTATTAATATTCGGTCTGTAACTTTGAACGCAAAGTTTAATATTCCATATTTATGGGCTTCTAGTCTTTGTCTCTAACTCTTTTAAGTAAAAAAATTTTGTTCTAATATACCTTAATTAACAAGTCAGATTTATATTACCATTGTCTTAAACATAATGCGGATACATTTCATTAATGGTTATATGATTCCGTCGCGTACTTTAAGCGGGGATAAAGCCTGGAATATTTTGTCGTGGGGGTGCATTACGTCCCATTAAGAACGTCGAGACGCGTCGCGCCCTTTAGAGCTTAAAACACGGGCCTATTTGTTCTAATATGAAACCGATGCTAATGGCGATATATCATAGCCGTTTCCCTTCCACCCTTCCTTCTCTGCCACCTAGAAAACGTCACCATGAATCACGAGATGCTAATGTACCAATTTATCTCGTCCCGACTTTATTAAGACTTACTTTTTCTCAGCGCGAAGGGAACGAAAGATCGCGGCCATTCACGCTAACTCTCGCTCGTCTCTCGCCGGGGCTTCAATTTATCGATGTATATACAATCGCACACACACATATATGTCCGTAAAAAGAAGATCGATATCGAACGGGCGAGAGAACACGTATAAGCAGC